CTTGGCTATTGGTATTATCTTGAATTTGTTCTTATTTGTCCTGATTTTCCATTTTTTCTCAAAATCATTTATATTTTTTATCGCTCTTACCGTGTAGAGTGCCATAAATTGGGTTGATTTTCCTGGGTATGATACTATTTGAGCGATATCATCAGCAAACATTACATATTCGCTAAAGGGGGTTGGTTGAGGTGTGTCTGAGGTATATATTGTATATAGTGTTGGAGAAAGGCATCCTCCTTGAGGTACTCCACTCTTGAGATTAAACATGGTTCCCATAAAGTTTCCAATTTGAATTTGTGCTCTCCTATCACCTAAATAGTAACACAATATTCTTAGCAAGTGTTCGTTAAGTCCCAATTTTAATATTTTATATTTTAAGCCTAAATGCCAAACTTATCAAAAGCCTGAGAAACGTCCCTTAAAATTATATTCATCTGGTTCCCCTTGCTTTTTTCTATTGCAACTATTTCCGTTATTGTAGCTATTGCAGTTAGGGTATTTCTATTGGGCATAAATCCATGTTGTCTATTGTTAGTTTTCCCCTGTTGTGTTAAAAAGGTTATAAGTCTTGAATTTAAAATTTTTTCCAGTACTTTCCTGGTAATTTATAATAAAGATATTGGCCTGTAGTTTAATATTTCCTATTGTCCTTACCCTCCTTGGGAATAAATATCATTTTAGCATGTTTTATTTTGTCTGGAAAGTAACCGGTTATTAAGCATGCATTATAAATGTTCAATAGTGTTTTTAAGATGTTTTCAGGTAGATTCATGATCATATTTCGTGTAATACCTGTGAGCCCTGGGGCTTTTTCCTTGAACTTCCTCAGACAGTGCATTATTTCTCCCATGGTTATTATTTGATTATTAGGTAATAAGTTATAGTCTATATATTGCTTTGGGGTGATTCTATGTATGTGTCTTCACATTTCGTCTTCTATCCTTTCTTCGTGTTCACTATCAAAATCTTCATTTTCCTCATCTGATATTTTAAAAACTTTTACCCATTCCCTTTTGAATGCTGACTCTTGTTCATTTTCCTCGTGCAGTTTTGTTCCATTTTGGTCTTTAATGTATGGTGTTTTTTGCTTGTTGTGCCCCATCATCTTGTTTATGGAAGTCCAAAATGTTTTTGTGTCTTTAGTCTTGTCAGCCGCCATTATAATATCATTCCATTTTTTATTGTTTGCTTCCTTACATGCGTCTCTTAATTTTATCTGTAGTGCTGTCTGCGTCGTATATAGCCATCTGTTACTGCCGTGTCTTTCCATACACCTGTTTATTTCATTGGAATGGGTTTGGATTAATTTAACTTCTTCTGGTAGCCTGTTGTTGGGTAATGTTCTAAAGTGTGAAGTAGGAGTGTGTTTGGTTATAGATGTTTTTATTGCTGAGTGCAATCTGTCCATTTCTGAGTCTATGTCTTCTGTTGTTTTCCCTTGTAGGTTAATCGAGTGGTGATTACCTAAGTCGTCTTTGAAACTGTCCCAGTCTGTTTTACTCATTTTCAGTCTCTTTTTTATTGGTGTCTGTATGGGGCTTGTTGACAGTGTTAGTATAATTGGTAGATGGTCGCTGCCCGTGAGAGGTCCTTGTTTTATATGGTAATTGAAAAAGGCTTTGTTGTTGGTAAAAACTTTGTCTGGTGTCGATTGTGTATTGTGATTTCTCCAGGTTGGAAAGTTAGGACCTAGATGATTGATTTTCCCTAGGTTTATTAATTGATTAAGGGCGTTTCCCACGGCGTTACTATTTGTATTGTCGAAAATCCTATGTCTGGCGCTAAAGTCTCCTAAGATGTACATCGGATGATTATTGTTAGCCAATTTTAATAGGTCTTCTATAGGTAAGTAGGGTCGTCTCGGTGGCAGATAAGTAGTAGCAATAATTACGTCTCCTTGAGATGTATTTATTTTTATTGCTAGAAATTCATCCTGGAAGTCATCGATAAGTTTATATTTTAAGTTTCTTTTAACCGCTATAGCTACTCCGTCATTTTTCTCGCCCGATTTATTTCTTTGGTTTACATAATAGTTAAAGAGTTTTATGTTGTTGTTGTCTGTCTCACCGTGACTGTTTATTAGTATAATGTCAGGGTCAATTTCTTGATATATATTACTTATTTCTCTCGGTCTTCCAGTTTCTTATATTATGTTGTATTATTCTTAAAGTTCTTACTGTTTGTCTATTGTCCATTATTTCTTATACTTGGATTGTGGCAGTTGGAGTGGAGACCTATCGTCCTGTTTCCCGCTTCTGACTCTTCTAAACTCTGACGGGTCTACTATTTTAAAGTCATTGGTCGTAATCTTTAGTTTGTCCATAGTGATTAGTGTCCAGACGTAATCTTCACTTAGGAATTTTTCTTGATATGTCCACTTGTATATCCCTCCTTCACAGTTTTTAGCTATTGTCCCTCCTGTTGGTCTTGATGTTGGGATTCCATGTTTTGTTATGGTAACTTTTAATCCAATATCTTCAGCAGATTCAGGTTGTCTGTTGTGATCAGTCTCCATCTTCTCCTCTCTCCTCTTCATCCTTTGTCTTGTAGACTGTCCTTTTGCGGTTTCTGTTTTCTCTTTGTCTCTTCTAGTCATTTGTCTGGGGTCTCTATCAGTCGCTTGTATTTCTTGTGTATCAGCTGTTGTTCCTTGCTCATACCTTTTTCCTCGCTGTAGCCTTTCTCTCAGTTCACTTGAGCATGTTGCCTGAAATAATTTCTCGGATTCTGGATTCTCTGGGAATATCATCTCTGGTAGGTTATTCAATTTAAACATTTTCCTTAACTCCTCATTGTATGATCCGGGTGCAATGATATTATGCAGATGTGCATGGATCATACTAATCATTACCTTGTCATGTATTGGTTCACTTAAGTTTAATATGGTGGATTCTGGTCTGTGAGCCTCTTGGACCGCTCTCTTGGCTATTTCGACGTATGTCGTATCCTTCTTTTCTTGTTCATTTTTCCTTGTTTCTTGTTCCTTGTACTTTATCATGTGTTTTTTTATTTATTTTATTTTTTTTTTTTTTATCCTCTTCGCCACTGATCGGCTTGTTAGCCGCTTGGGCGATCGGTCACGACTCTTTTCCTTTATATTCTTCACCAAAAGGTCGGCTCGCTAGCCGCCCGGGCGATCGGTCACGTCTCTGTCACGCACTGTTGGCAAATACTGGGCATGCACCGGCTCCTGAATGTACCTGAACCCGCTCCAGTGTTGGTCAAGTCTTCTCTTGAAAGAGCTCACACTCGGTGCCGTCACAACACTTTCTGGTAGATTGTTCCAAGAGTTTACAACCCTCACTCCGAAAAAGTTTGCCCTCACGGTTTTCCGGACTTGCGGCTTCTTCAATCTTGAGCTATGACCCCTTGTGGGGCGAGCGTCCGCCAGCTCCAAGTAAGGACACTCAACTGAGTAGTGCCCCCTGAGATGCTTATAAACCTCAACTAGGTCCCCCCTTGCCCGTCTGTAGTATAAGCTAGGCAAATTGGGATGCCCGTGGAAGGAGCTGCAGGGCCTTTATATTGGAGGAGAACTGGCAGATGAGCTCTCCTAATTAACACTAAACTGGTTAGATCTGGATGGCTGTGTTTGCCCAGGTGCGTGGTCATATCGCCGGTCGGTAAGGCTTCTTAATTATTACCACCCAGGTGTGTCTTGGCTGGGTGTGGTTTCTTTAACACGGTCATGTCGCCGGGTTAATCTAATCACGTGGCGGTGAGAACTCTGGGTCAATGAGACTAACCTCTCTTGGGTCGGATCTGGACAGCTAGTCCAGGTGTACTTTCTTGAGTAACACGGTCATAACGCTGGGTTAACTCTGGTACCTAGTGGCTGTGCCCTCTCCTGGGTCAGGTCTTAATCTCACTGTAGGGTGTGTCAACCTTTGTGGGTGTACAACTGCTCATCTACTTACTGTTAATGCGTTGTATTTCTCTGGGCTGTAAGCTGTGGTCTGATAAGCAATCATTACATATATATCATCAAAAAATTAATAGAATGTTGGAGAAATGATTATAAAAAAGTTTGTTATCTCTGCAAATGTATTTTCTTTTAAATTGAAACTTTCTAGAGAACGTAATTGTTTGTCATGTGAGTTGCAGCTTTCTTATGTTAGGTTAGGTAGGGTAAGGTTAGGGTAAGATACATTTCACTAATTTTGCAGCAAAAAAAAATCACCACTGAATGTATAGAATACAAAACTTATGAACATAATTCTTTTTATTAGAAAAAATGCTTTACCACTTAATTGGGTTAGGTATTATTTAACCCTGAGTCATGGGTAATTATTGGATACTTGGCAGAATAACTTGTTATAACTTGGTCCTAGTAAAGGCGGAGTCTAGGCAAAAATGTTCACTTGACCTCATATTTGGCTTTCATTACTGAAGGATATTTACAGCTATACCACATTAATAAGGTGTATATGCAAGTTTACTCAGTCATAAAAAAATATGTGCCATAAATGTGGACAATAAAAATCTACTATTTTGTTACAAATTACTTGAAAAGTTGTAAGAAGACAAAAGCTGCGTCTCTTCCATTCCTGCGAGAAATAGAAACACTCAAGCCTCTTCTTATCGTAAAAAATGAATTAAATAGACAAACTGTAATATCGTAATTTAGTATGTCGATGTACAAAACATTTTCTTCATTATTCTATGATAAAACAAGTCTAACAAGCATTATTGCAACATATATTATTAATTTTTCCTATGCAATCGGGAAATAGCGACTACTGTATCCGGGTTGATCGTGTTACAGCACCAAAGGAGGTGCTATAAGTTACGGGTTAGATTATGGGCTTACTTATGGAGTCCGCTGCCACGGGGGCTACTAATTACAGTATAACACCTTCATCAAAAACCTTCACTTCCTTGAGGAACAAATAGATACTAGATAGTCTCACTACAACATTGTATTTTACTTAATGAAACACGTCCACAGCATCACACCCAAAATATTTACTAACTGCTGCTGTACATTATCCCCCCAGACCCTGACCCAGTCACTGGCGTCAACGTGAACAACTATACAGACAACTCCACTCTGCTGGACGTGAGCTGGTGGGAGGTACAAGACGTCGGCAACTGTGACGTCACTTACAAGATCACCTGGAGTCCCGCCAGTAACGATGATGGCAGTAATACAACTACCACCACCTCGCTGAGCTACATCATCACCCAGCTGGAGGCCTGGACCACCTATCATGTGTGTGTGGCCTCCAAGACGAACAGTAGTTACAGTAATGACACATGCATGAATGGCACAACAGACGAGGACAGTAAGTAGTGATTGGTACCAATTTTGATGGTGAAAGTTAAGAATATGAAGAGAACTTTTGATGATATGAAGAGGTGTTCAGTCCTTGCCAGGATACATAGAGACGCAACAGCTAAAGCATGACCGATTAAGTAGTTTTACCTCCAGGGTTCACACTCATGAAACTAATGGTATTAATTTTCATCAGTTTAAGGACACAGGGGAGAGCACATTCCTCTATGAACTAATTCATAGAGTATCAGTATCAGCTTCAGTAAAGCTTTATATAACTTTGTCCTCCAGCACCGGGGCCTCCAGCCGACACCAGGATACATTCTGAAACTTCACATTCCTTACTGGTGGCATGGAAACCCCCTGAGAAGCCCAGAGGCATCATAACAAATTACACTGTTACCTGGAACCCGTCGAGCGTGAACGGTAATAACAGTGATCATGTTAATGGGAACATCACTCATTACAATATCACCAGTTTGGAGGCATGTATCCCTTATATTATCAAAATCAAGGCCGCAACTATCAAAGGTTATGGTGACCAGTATATTGAAGCCAATGGTACTACAAGTGATAAACGTGAGTACGACACATGTACACTCTTGCGTATCTGGGTTGTATAGCATAAGTTTATTAATTCATTCACTCTGTGTGTGTGTGTGCGTATGTCTGTCTGTCTGTCTGATGAACATTAGGTAAATATATACCAGGGGTTTCAAATGGCATTGTACAAGACAATATGAAAAAGTTACCGTCACGGATCAAAAATACTAATACACAAGATACTAACTGTTAACCAGGTTTGTAATGTCTCCTCACTGTCACCTATAACAGTAGTATCATCTGTACAGCGATTATTTGCTTTTACTTTAAGAATAACATTTAGTCCTTCAGTATTCAACACCAGCAAGTGCAGCGTACTTATTATTGGAAGAACAAATACTGTCAATGTATACAGCCTTAACAACATCAGCCTAGAGAAGTCGATTTGTGAAAGAGACTTGGGGGTACGTGTAAGCCCGGACTTACTGCCTAAAAAACAGTGCGTTAATGTTCGAAATAAGGCAAACAGAGTATTGGGTTTTATATCTAGAAGTGTAAGTAACAAGAGTGCAGAGGTCTTATTGCAACTATATATTGTGCTAGTTAGGCCGCACCTCGATTATGCGGTTCAGTTCTGGTGCCGTTATTATAGAATGGATATCAATTCACTAGAGTGGGTGCAGCGAAGAATGACGAAAATGATTCCGGGACTTAGAAACCTTCCATATCAAGATAGGTTAAAGAAACTAAACTTGCATTCCCTAGAAAGACGAAGAGTGCGGGGAGATATGATAGAAGTATTCAAGTGGGTGAAAGGAATCAATAAAGGTGATATAGATAAAGTTCTTATAATATCCGAGCAGGATAGGACTCGGAACAACGGATTCAAGTTGGATAAGCTTAGGTTTAGGAGGGAGATAGGAAGGAACTGGTTTACAAATAGGGTGGTGGACGAGTGGAACAAGCTTAGCAACTTTGTAGTAAGTGCTGGAACGCTGGAAAGTTTCAAAGGGAGGCTGGATAGATTCATGGATGATAGAGAGTGGTAGTAACTCTCGACAGGAGCTGCCATGCACAGGCCAACCGGCCTATTGCAGACTCCTTATTTTCTTATGTTCTTATGTTATTACGTGTAATTGTAATGTCTCATTAGAAATTCGTAATATATATTATACAGTAGGGTGTGTCATAGGAGGGAAGATCAGCTAAAACTAATGGCCCATCACTTTTTTGGTAGATTTTAGTGTATATAAACAGAAAATAATTTCAGTTTCAATATTTTGCAACCTTTTGCTAGGTAAATTTTAGCGTGAAATTTATCGAAAATCTAACGTACAGCTGCATTAGTGCATTACAATTAAATAGTGAACATTGCTTTCTGACTTCATTCTTTAACAACCCAACTAACAATATTTTTTTCTGTTTCAGATTCTGATGCATTTATAAGTTGATAATATTTGCGATGGCTGCTTGTGTCAGGACGAGGAACCAAAAATCCAGCCATCTCAGTCACTATCTTAGGTCTGGGAGAGAGCTCCTGAAGTCGGAGTTGCCTACATTGAGAGATGCTTTGAGATACGGTGTTTTAATCAGGCAAATCAATGAAAAGAACCAAAGAACTTACACAAACAAAGACATTGCCAGTGATATGACCAAAGCTGTCTTGGCACAGTACACTCTGGCTAACGCTCAGTTCAAGCCTCCAGTCATAACAAGTCAGAAGAAGATTAGTGAGAGACTGCTAGCCAGTTGGGAAAAGGCAAGAGATATCTCTCTTGGGAGAGGAAAACTTGCAGTTAAGGACAGCTTTGCCAAGCAACTGGACCAGTTATTTGACATAATTACTTGCAAGTGCCCAATTGTTCTCTGTCCTGAGTTTGGATGCGATCGTGACTGTAAATCCGAGGCCCACATCTCCTGTATTTGCAAGCGTGAACTGAAGATTCCTGTGATCGAACTGGCATTTGTCAAAGCACAGAGAGAGAAGACTGGCAGTATAGGGGCTCTCATGATTTCTAGCCAAGATATTCCGGAGTCCAAGAGACAGGAGGCTGCCACAGAGAGACAGAAGAGGAGAAGAGTTGCCGAGGAAAAGAGACTTGAGAAGGCCCAGGGTGAGGTAAAAAAGGCCGATGATTGGAGTCAAGCTGATTCAGAGTTTAATGACTTCCCCATGGCTGATCCGAGTGCTGACCAGGAGAACGGTGACTTTGTCCCTAACCCAGAAAATAATGATCCCAAACCTTCCAGGCATAAGATTCGAAATAGGAAAGATATCCCGAGCATAGCTCTGGCCAGCATGCGACACCACACTGGTCTCAGAGAAACTGCAGAGATAGCAACAGCTGCCTGGATTGACGGTGGTTTGATAACACCTGATGATGTTCACCTGGTGATAGATCATAACAAAGTAAGGAGAGCTCAGGAGAAACTTGTCAGTAACCTAGAAGAGGAGTTTGATAAGGGGATAAGAGAAAATGGAATCAATTGTTTGTTCTTTGATGGGAGAAGGGATGACACTAAAGTGTTCATGAAAGTTGGAGATTCTGACAAGTTGTTCCTTGCCATCTGACAAGTTGTTCCCTGCCATGGTGAAGGAGGAACACTACTCCTGCTGCAGTGAACCAGGAGGGAAGTATTTGTGGCATTTCACCCCAGAGAAAGATGACATCAGGAAACCAGCTGAGATAGTGGCAGGTAACATTGTGAACTGGCTCAGAGAGAGGAACGTAGACCAGACCCTGCAGGCCATTGGAGGGGACAGCACCAACACGAACACAGGGTGGCAAGGGGGGGTCATACAGTGGATAGAGCTGAAGATTGGGAGGAAGTTGGTCTGGATTGTTTGTGACCCCCACACCAACGAGTTGCCACTCAGACATCTGATCCAGGAGCTGGATGGCAAGACTCTTTCAAACAACAGATGGTCTGGTCCTCTTGGCAAGATGCTGGACTCTGCCACTGAGTTAGAAATAAATCCGAGCTTTGAAAAAATCACAGTTGGCCCTCCACTCGTTGAGCTTGCACATACCAATATTGACGTATCTGAGTACTGACCAGTATGGTTAAGCATGATTTGTGAAAAGCATCAAAGCTGGGGTCATGCCTGATAGACTTGCTTACCTGCAGATAGGTCCAGTCTCACATTCTAGGTGGCTCACAACGGCTCTCAGGTTCTGCAGAATTTGGGTCGCTCATCATAAACTGAAAGGGAACCAGCTTCACAACCTGAGACTTATTGTCCAATTCATCGTGAGTGTCTACTTGCCAAATTGGTTCAACACCAAGGCAAGTCATCGTTCTCTGAAGGTCGGAGGTATGTTCTCTTCCAGCTTGAGCTCCTGAGGAGTCAGCCAAGGAAGGTTGTTCAGATTGTGGAGCAGACTGTGAGGAGATCTTCCTGGTATGCTCATCCCGAGGCAGTTCTGCAGACAATGCTCTGCAGTAAGGATGAGGAGGAGAGAGAAGAGTGGCAGTCAAAAGATCTTGGATATGAGACTTATGAGAGGATTCAAGCATGACGAATCAGTTGGTGACGATTCCTTCAGGGTCAGGAAGACTCCCTGAAGTCAATCTAGGTGCCAAGACCCTCACTGATCTCATAGATCTGGATAACATCCAGGCTGGCAGTGAGCCTTCTCTACCTGCAGCCTCACCAATGTTCAAGTCAGAGCTTTCCCCTGACAACCCCATGCATGTCCCCTGCCTGGCCCCTCGCACACCCAGAGTATAGAGCTGCTGTGTACAGCAAGTGAGCGACAGGCCAGCAGTCACGCAGGTACAGCCAGGAGAGGAGGGAAGGCTACATCCCGGCTCAGGTGGTCAGCAGGGAGGCGATGAGTAGAAACAGAAGCAAGAAAGACATGTTCTCTATGGTGTGCAGCAACACCGGGTCGTAGTAGAAAAACCGGTTTTTGTATTTGATGATTTTTTTTCTAAAGGAATATTAAATTTAATAAATGTGTCAAGATCATTCGCTTCACTATTCTGGATCATTTTCATCCTAATAAATTAACCTGATACATTTACTTTACTTTAAATAAGCTATTTAGTGGTGTTGGTAAAAGGGTGGGAATACTGAATTTTCATAAGATTTCAAGTTAAAATTTACCTAGCAAAAAATGAAAACTTTTCAAATCTGAAGATATCACATGATTCTGCACATAGAACTACATCATTAATACCATGGGCCGATTTTTCAAACTCAAAAAAAAAATCGCCTCCGTATGACACACCCTATTATACAGTGTTGGAGATATAAAGTATTCTTGTCTTAGTCCCTGTCTAATCCTGAACCAACTAGTAAATTCATTATTTACTAACACTGCAGCCTCTTGTTGCCTGTAACGTCTTTTTTAAATTTCAATACCTTTATTAAGGCCGATTGTTTCCCAGACATCTTTAAGTTTATTGTATTTTACCTCATCTAGAGCTTTTTCAAAATCAACAAATCAGAATTGCAATTTTTCTACCTCCACCAAAAGCTCTTTTATTTAAAATTCTCTGAACAAATATAACTTCCTAAGATCCTTTACAATCCATTTTAGGTTTCGTTCTATTTAATATTAAGTTTTATAAGACTTAGCAGCTGTCATAATTTATCTGTACTACGGTGCTTGTCTTAAACTGGCTTCACTCAAGGTTCCTGGCTCTTTAGGTACAGAATTAATGCATATATTAATTTTATAGTCACTGGGAAAGGTTCCTTGGGAGTACAGGTACACATTTTAGTTTGTCATTTTATCCCATTCTTGCCCATTTGTAAGCTGACCAGCCCCACAACTCTTACTATCCTTGCTCTGCTCTTAAATACCTCAGTTATTGAGGTCCAGAAAAAACATTACAAAGTTAACGTCTGTCAGTGATTCCGCACCATCCCCAGTAAAGCAATGAAGTACAGTATATCTCAGTCATATCAACACCAGACCTGACCAAACAACATGGATGAACTGTGATGGGTATACAGTAAACACGAAATTTCTTAGGAGGTCACGTTCAAAGGCCAAGGTCCTGGTCATTGGTAGTCCAAATTTTTCGTTGATAACTGTGAAGAGAACTATCGCAAGAAGGTAGAACTTAGTGCGTTAGATTCCTCGACAAACACACATCAAAATCATTAACGCATTTCTCTACAACGTTACGTTCCCTCCAAATTCCGTCTAAGATGACGGTTTTTCGACGAAAAAGATATGGATAAAAAACAAACATAGGTATATGTATCATATGTAGCTGCAGTATAAAAAAATTATAATTTCGTTTGGCGATATATTGAAGGACCTTCATTATTTTGTTAAATTAGCAGTGTTATGAAAGTGGTTTTTCCCGATCCAGAGGTAAAAACACAAATGGGGTGAGGTATACCAACCATCTCTGGTTGTTAAGATAATTTAATTATAGTTTATTATTATTATTATTATTATTATTATTATTATTATTATATTTTAAGAATATAAGAACACCAGAATGGAGTAAACTGCAGCGGGCCTATTGGCGCATACTGGGCAGTCCCGTTTACACCCAACCCCTATCGTTCATATCCAGCGTATTCGAGTTAAAAATGATGCTTGGTAACTTGCTCCACTCATCCACTACTCTATTTCCAAACCAATGTTTACCTATCTCGCGCTTAAATCTAAATTTGTCTAATTTTAAACCATTGTTACGAGTTCGCTCCTGGTTGGATAGTTTGAGTATCTTTGTTATATCACCTTTGTTTAGCCCTGACTCGCATTTATACATCTCGATCATATCGCCCCTCACTCTATGTCTATCGAAGGGGTGCAAATTAAGATCCTTTAACCTGTCTCTGAACTCAAGGTTCCGAATACCCGGGATTAGTCCTGTTATTCTCCTCTGAATTCTTTCTAGGGATTCTACTGTATATCCATTCTGTAGTACGGTGACCAGAACTGAACTGGGTAATCCAAGTGAGGTCTCACAAGCGCAGGATATGTTGTTGCTGCTGGTGGTGGTGGTGGGGTTGTTGTTGTTTCTGTTGTTGTTGAAATCGCTATAATTAGTAACACTAATAGTAGTAAGATTAGAAGCCATACTAGTATTAGTAGAAGTAGCAGTATATTATTTCAAGTAGTAGGAGAAGTAATATTATCTGCAGTTTTAACATAGCTAAAAATAAAGATTGAAAAAAATTTCTCAACAAACTCCTCAACATTCACTCTTGGGTTAACTACCGTGTCCATCAAGTTTTCTTATGTAGGTGGATAAGACTGAAGCAGCAAGAAGAGGTAGTAAATAAAAATAAAGGAAAAACAAAATGAACTCCATAAACATAATACCTAGTATCTGTAAACATAACTAATACAATATAATAAACATAAGTTTATTAGTTCAGGAGATGTTCCTTTGTTTGCTTCTTTGACGCCTTTTACTGGTGTTGTGACGATTATAAACGACTAATTAAATCTAGTACTGAATGCCAAGACAAATATTTACCGCCATCACCTGGGCAGGAACCACCGAACGCTGGTGCTGTCATCGGTAATATTCCAATTTAGGTTGTAAAGGTTTACATTGCGCACTAGACAACGATAATCACAGAGTAAGAGCCATACATCTCTCTGTTCCTCATAAGGTGAATCACGGTTGTTATTGACCCAAATTTTAGCAGATGAATGACAACAGAAGCATATTCCTCTTGCCATGACTGGTGTCATGTGCCGTTTTGTTTACCGGAATTAAAATAAATGACAATCACCATCTGCTTCCCAGGGTTACACGGAAGGCTTTCATGATCAGATTATCTTTAATTATTGTTACATACATATATTTGAGTTTACTAAAAATTTAACCCTTCTCGAACTGGTATCTTATACAGAAACAAATACAGTATAATGATAATTTTATTTGTAATATACGCCAGGACACTGTGTACAATACATGTCGGTTTTTGTGCGTACACTTGTGTCTGTCCACACTTACACAACGTACAGATAAAGTGTTAACTCGTGCCGGTTGTTCCTCATCTAAGGTAATAGTAACTCATGCCCGTTGTTCCTCAACTAAGGTAGTAACTCGTGCCCGTTGTTCCTCAACTAGGGTAGTAACTCGTGTCCGTTGTTCCTCAACTAGGGTAGTAACTCGTGAACCTTGTTCCTCACTTAAGGTAGTAACTCGTGCCCGTTGTTCCTCAGTTAAGGTAGGAACTCGTGCCCGTTGTTCCTCATTTAAGGTAGTAGCTTGTGCCCGTTGTTCCTCATTTAAGGTCGTAACTTGTGCCCATTGTTCCTCAGTTAAAGTAGTAACTCGTGTCATTGTTCCTCAGCTCCAGAAGCAACCCAGAAGGTCACTTGTGACCCGCCCACCATCCCTCGCTACTTGACAGTCTCATGGTCCACAATCAGGTCAAGTTGTCCAGTACGAAGGTATTCAGTAAACTACACTGGCCGCGTATTGTGGTCACACAACAACACACACGACTCACGATGCACAGACTCCATATATGTGGACCTGAAGAACTTAACATCTTGGACGACTTACAACGTGTGTGTAGCTGGAGTGATTGCCAATGACATTGTTGGTGCCTGGAACTGCTGCCAGGCCACTACTCTGGAGTCAGGTGAGAATCTTGATGCTATAAGAATTTAAACTGAAATATTTATTATGTTGATAAATTAATAATTAATAGTTTCTTTGAGAGGGTATGAGAAACTAAATTATGTTTATTCTAGTCAAGGAGCAATAAAGTTAAACCTGGAGTAAATTGGAAACAAGCTGAAAATTTCAAACAATATTCATAAAATTGTGATAAAAAAAAGTCCACGAACATCTCCCTTGTGCTAGGAAATCAAGATGGCGTCTAAGATGGCTGCTATTCTAAAGTGTATTATATATTTGCAACTGAACATGAGAAAATTATGAACAAAGTGCATAATCATTGGTTTTCAGAAACGAGCAGTCCTGTAAAACCATTGAAAACGGGATAAAAACAAAACAAGATGGCGGCCATTCAATGTTGTGCCATATCTGGGGTGGCTCGTCTTCTATCCAACTGTTAGATAGGGTGTAATCAAAGGCATTTCATCTTATGAACTCTCCTCCCTTAGTCAATAATCTCTCTTCTCTTTCTCTTCGACACAATGTTGCTTCACTCTCTCTCTTTTACAGGTATTTTAACGGGCAATGTTCGGTGGATTTGACATCCTGTGTACCGCCGGCAGGACAAGGGCGCGCAATACTTATCTTGCCCACGGTGAACACCATTTTTGTGTTGATGTCGGTCACACTAGAATAAACCGTTATTGTACACTCGGAAACCATTCTCTAGCCCACCTGGGTTGGTGCTGGAGGTCAGTACAGCGTCTTTTCTGGACGGGTGCCCACTCTAACTATCACGCGGCAACACATGCACGAACTTTAACACAGTCATAGTACGGCTGCATAGATAATATTATGTATAAATAGTGTATGTGGCATTTTATACCCTGCATTATCTTCATTATAAATGAACACGAAGAAAAAATTACCATATGTTGTAGTTACGAATAGGTAATAGGTAACACTTTTAAGTTCAGTATTTATAGAAAACCAACTAATGTGTGTTCATACATTCATTATTATTCTGCCCACCATAATAAAGTCAAACAGTCAGTATTTTCAACAGTGTTTTTACGTGCCTTGAGAATTTGCAGTCCGGAATTCATCGATGAGGAATACAAATATATATATATATATAATATTGGCTCAAACCTTAAATACCCTAGATCTTTCATAGACAAATGCCTAAACATTACTAAGAAAACTTTTTATAAAACTGATCCCAAGCCCACCCATGGCCATAAAAATATCTTAATATTACCATTTCACAAAATTTTCTCACACATTCCTTCACAACTAAAAACCTGGAACGTCAATGTGGCATTTAAAAACTCATACACTGTTAAACAAATGTTAATCATGAACTCTCCCAACAACACAATTGGTTCCATTTATAAAGTTCCTTGCAAGGAATGTAATATGTTTTACTTAGGCCAGACAGGAAAAGATCTTGCAACTAGAATTAAACATCACAAATACAGTGTTAGGACAGGCCAAGAATCCAATGCTCTGTTTGTTCATTTGAGGGATAACAAGCATTGCATTGACTGGGATAATGCCTCCTCAAAATTACCATGTAATTCAATTGATAGTAGGAACATCATAGAATCTAGTCTTATTAAACATACAGAAGCATTCAACATGAATTTGAGTAACGGCATGTACAAGCTGGACAATTTTGTAATTAAGAAGATTTGTAACCAGGTGAGAAGGCCGGGTCACCTGACACTCTGACCGGACCACCAACCGTTGTGTGCTATTTAAAGATTAGTAGGGTCATTACCTAATACCTGACCATTGTGGACCTGGTCTCACCCTCCTCTGTATATATACACCTTGGTTTGTATTTCTCTCTCTAGTCTGTACTCACCCCTGAAGATGTGAATTACACGAAAGCGCTTGGGAACTTCGTGTTTTCTTCTTTCCTTGTGGTTATGAGCATATACATATATATATATATATATATATATATATATATATATATATATATATATATATATATATATATATATATATATGTATATATACTTTCCCTCACCCTAGCAAACTAGTTAGCATAGCATAACCAAACAACCTCGCAAGGACCAATAGGTCTGTATACAGTAGACTCTCTGACCCTCTCTCACCATGAACGGTTACGAGTTTGATAACGTGGCTCGGATACGTCCGGATACGCCGACCTGCCCCAAGAAATTAAACCTCCTAGTTCTCAATAAGTTCTTTGAAACTAATGGGATCATGGGGGTCACCAAGGTGGAACGACTGAAGCTCCATGGTGACATCAAGATCACCATCGCCGAGAAGGGTATGCCCGTACAGCTCGCGGAGATCCCAGACATCAACGGCATTCCATTTAAAATGATTGCCTACAAGTGGGACAACCTGAAGCTGGGAGTAATCTTCCACGCCGAAATTGCCCACGTGGACCAAGCAGAGCTGAGTGAGCTCCTCAAGAACATAAGAATGGAGGAAACTGCAGCGAGCCCATTGGCCCATACTGGGCAGTCCCGTTTACACCCAACCCCCATTGCTCATATAAGCATCCAACCTATGTTTGAAGCTATTCAGCGTATTCGAGTTAATGATGATATTTGGTAACTTGTTCCATTCATCCACTACTCTGTTACCAAACCAGTGTTTACCTATTTCACACCTAAATCTAAATTTGCCTAATTTAAAACCATTGTTACGAGTTCGCTCCTGGATGGATAGTTTGAGTACCTTTGTAATGTCCCCTTTGTTTAGCCCTGACTTCCACTTATACACCTCTATCAGGTCGCCCCCCGCTCTACGTCTCTCGAGGGAGTGCAAATTAAGATGCTTTAACCTGTCTCTATACTCAAGGTTCCTAATGCCCGGGATTAGTCTTGTCATTCTCCTCTGAATTCTTTCCAATGATTCTATATCCATCCTGTAATACGGTGACCAGAATTTAACTGCGTAATCCAGGTGTGGTCTCACAAACGCAAGACACAGTTTTAGGATGACGTCGCTAGTCTTGTAATTAACACTCCTTTGTATGAACCCAAGTACTTTATTAGCCTTGTTACGAGCAAAAACACATTGTTTACTTGGCTTAAGGTTCCTACTTATCATTACTCCTAAATCTCTCTCGCAGTCGGATTTCTCTATGGCATCCTTGTTCATCTGGTATCTGGTTTCCCTGTTTACATCTCCTATACTGAGTACTTGACATTTGTCCACGTTGAATTTCATCTGCCAAATTGTGAAGAAGCTGTCCGACACCACTGCCCTCATCTGACACAGTACAACCTTACCCAAGGAGGCTCAACTGGCGTGGGTAACTGTGCCAGTCAAGCCCTACTGCAGACCGAAAAGCTGTTACAAATGCCAGCACTTCGGACACACTGTAAACAAGTGTGAGGCGCAGGAGGACACCTGCTCCCTGTGCGGCAGCCCCGGACACCGCTACACTGTCTGCCCCAACACAGTAAAAAAATGCGCTGCCTGTGGCGGCCCACATTCCTCTGCCGATCGGACCTGCCCCAAATGGAAGGAGGAATGCAGGATAGCCAAGGCTCGACTCGATAAGAAACTGAGCTACAAAGAGGCCCTCCTTGCTGTACGCTCCCAAGACAAGAAAAAAACAGTAGAAAAGAACAACCAAGAAAAGAAAACCCAAGAAAAGAAAACTCAAGAAAAGACACCCGCCACACAGAATCAAGAACACCACGAGGCCCGTGGAGCTGAAGCCCACGTGGTCAACCTCACCGTCTCCGACTTCTTCCACACCTATAAGAACATAAGAACATAAGAAAGTGGGATACTGCAGGAGGCCGACTGGCCCATACAGGGCAGATCCCTTTCACACCCATCCCAGCACTTCCATGTGCCTATCCAACTTCGTCTTGAAGCTCCCTAGCGTCCCCGATCCTACTATAGCACTCGGTAGCCTATTCCACATATCCACAACTCTATTACCAAACCAGTGCTTGCCTATATCCTTTCTGAATCGGAATTTATCTAATTTAAAGCCATTTGTTCTAGTTATTTCGTTATTACTGAGCTTCAGAACATCTTCCATTTTACCCTTGTTAATCCCACTTACCCACTTGTACACCTCTATCATATCTCCCCTAACTCTACGCCTCTCTAATGAATGTAAGTCTAAGCTTTTCAGTCTTTCTTCATATGGAAGGTTTCTAATATTATGGATCATTTTTGTCATTCTTCTTTGTACTCTCTCCAAAGAATCTATGTCCATTCTATAATAAGGACACCGGAACTGAACCCCATAATCCATGTGTGGCCTCACTAATGCTAGGTAAAGTTTCAAGATAACGTCAACAAGACCCAAACACGAATGAATGGACACTTCAAGAGAGCAAGACGAGGAGGAGAGTTAAAAGAAAATCAACTTCAAGCTAAGAAGAATACTAAGACAGAAGACCAAGACATTTCCTCCAAACAAGAAAACAACACACACAATCAAGCCGACCAAGCACTGAGAAACCATGGCCCAACCCAACACGCACCTGACGCTTGACCTGACGCTAACCTGACTCTGTCCGGCCGCCTCCTCGCCGCGTCCAGGCGAGTTGCTGCTGCCTCCAACTTAAACTCCCTCACGCAAGCGGTGTTTAGCCACTGCACCGATTCTCTCCTCCTAAAATTCACTTCACTCCTCCCTATATCCTTCCCCTGAACCTCCTTCCCCCCTGTCACTAGCATTTTATGTATATATGGTCTGTATATAATAAGTGTGCACCCGCTAAAATGACCTAGTATATTTTACTAATGTCTCATTGTCCATGGGTTTTCTTACAGTTTGACTGTGAGTTTTCTATTTTGTCTACCTGCTAATTCAACAGAACTGCTAACCATCCTCCCAGCAACTCATATGCCATACCAGACCCACAGCCTATATGTATGGTGCAAGACCGCAGTCCAATACATACAAGTCAGGCAGTCAAGCGTTGGTTTGAGGCGCACCTGCAGATTATTCTATTGGACTGGCCCCCTAAAGGAGACGATTGTAATCCAATAGAAAATCTATGGGTGCATACGGTTGTTGAATGCGATGTTTAGGAGAAAACGAGTGAGGCAGTGAGGAGACACGCACATAATGTGTGGGAGGGAATAAGGAGGAGGCCGAACATCTGCAGCAATCTGGTAGATTCCATGCCCACCAGATTGCATGAAGTTATAGCAGCAGATGGAGGTTGGACACGGTATTAACCTGTAGTCAAGAATTAAATCTCCGTCACGACGGTGCCTTGTAGGGGGTGGTGGGGGAGTTAGCTCTCTGGTGTAACCTCGTTGGGGCCACATAGACTTCCTTTCCTAACTCTGGGGAATTTGTCCAGGTATTTTAGTATGTGGTTTTACGTCACTTCGCATAAATATGCTTACAAAATCTATGCATTAATATGCATAACTCTTGGGAATCTGTCCAGACATTAAATATATGTTATATACTACAATAATCACAAATATATGTTTACAATGTTTATTCATAATAAATGTGGAAAATATTTTTGGGGTTTCAATTAACCAATAGTCATGCCTACAAAACAATCTTGATGCTCTAAGTGCATGTATGTGTTAAATAACGAGTAACTGATCCACATTATTTTGGTAAATAAAGAAATGAAAAGCAAGCACTTAGCCATATGGATATAGTTACACGGAAGAAGGGAAATAAGGATGAACCATGGTTTTGATGGAAACAATGTGCTCTGGGACGATGCTCACAATGACGAATGGGAGAAACATCTTTATGAAACATCTTACCTACTAAGGATGAAGCTTAATGTTACAGAACACACACACACACACACACACACACACAGTGTAACTTTGTGTGACGCTTTGTCTGACTTAGGGTGGCTTTGAGCGAACCATACATTTGGTATTACAATTTATGTATCCTTCCTGTCCATGATTTACAACAATAACTGTAGGGTAAAAGTTACAATATTATACTAATAATACTATCATGTATTGATACTATGACTAGTTACCAAGATACAGAGCACGATGAACAAAATGATAATGATAGTGAA